AATACATGCGGGGACGTACGCAGTCAAACAAGCCAGCGCCGCGTTTGAAAGTTAGCAACGAGGAAGGGCGCAGGAGACGACGTGCGGCGCCTCCTAGGCATGCGCTCAGGGGCAATACTCTGACCGCTGATTCTGTGTGTTTATTTGTTGGAAAGATTTATTCTCACGAAGAACGTTTCTTAATTCCTTTGCACGTTTGTGCAGCATTGCTCAATCTCTCACTTACACCGAAGCTAAATTTCATTTTCCAACGTAACCCGACACTGGGCACACATGCGTTGCGGCATTCATACACGAGAGTTTGATGCCGGATACTCCCACGTCCATTGCACGCGTGTGCTTGCAGCGGACACCGGGGCATCCGGTTAGAATAAATGCTGAGCATTTTTTATTCTAACCGGGCACGAATTAGCCAGGTTATATGATAAGCCCTTGGCAGAGTGTGCCCCTCCAAATATCAAGGCACGGCAGCGGATGAAGGCGAAGACTGCAATATCAGGGGCCCTTATCTGGACACTTGGCGAAAAAGACGCCGAGAAATCTGGCGGCCATGATTGGCCAACGCCGCACTCGACCTTGGCGCCGGCCAATCAGAGCCGCCAGATTTCTCGGTGACTTTTTCGCCGAGTGTCCAGATTAGGGCCCCAGTTCAGGATTGCTCGAAGGACAACTGAGGTTTATTTCAACTTGTTGGCCATAAGCCCTTGACAACGTCTTTTCTAGATAAAACACTCAATTATAAAATTAAAACATACACAGAATCGAAAAAAAAAAAACACAAAAAAACCTTCCGTGTATTCTATTTAGCACGACCTTTCGGGTTTTTAAGCTTTCATTTATTTATTAATTTTTTTTCAGTAAATTTAGTTTTAATTGGTCAAATTTTCTACCCTTTTGTAGTTTTCGTTTTCCGAAAGGCTGCAGCGAAAATTCTACAAATCGGTTGCAGCAGTAACCGACTGCGCGTTTTCGCTTCCACACACAGCTTGTACGTGACGTCATCGCTTGTGGTCCTTCCTACTTGTTGCCCAGAGAAATACATTCGGGGGTGCGAAATGTGTGCTGCACGTAAGTGCTACCAGCCAAGTCATCAGAATGGCCACTGCTGTGACGTCGATCGCGATGTATACACCATTCGTTGTTCGGTATACACTGACCAACTATATTGAAACACTGCAAATGTTTATTATACATTATTAGTATTTCAGAAACTGCAGCTACGCACGATTCATGCAATTGGCTGCTAAGTATATCCAATCGGCCCTATTTTTTCAACGACTCTCGCACGGCGACATTCAAAGTACTGCCGTATGCAGGTATTGCATGCACTCTAAAACGAAATCCGTGCGTCTACTTTCCCGCACAACACTCAAAGAGCCAAACAGTGAAACTTACAGAGGAAGCTGAGCGAATGACGATGACCAAACATATGTTTAGACCAAAAAACACAGTCTGGGTTGTGACATTAAGCAATGCAAGCATGACGTCTTGCATTGCTTAATGTCACAACTCAGACTGCGTTTTTTGGTCTATAAACATATATTTCGACATCGTCATTCGCTGAGCTGCCACCGTAAGTTGCAGTGATTGGCTCTCCGAGTGTTTTGCGGGAAAGTAGACGCACGGATTTCGTTTCAGAGTGTAAAGACGCATTTTTGTCATTGGCTTTCCGCGATTCTGAAGGGAACGACGAAATAAATTGTTACGATAAAATCAACTCAAATCGTGAGGCGGTCAATGTCTAACGCCCTGTTCGATTACAAGTGTACGAAAAAGCAGTAATTTCGCTTGGAAGCTTGTACCGATCAATTTAGACTTCCCTCACCCCGCCACATCTGCTGCCCCTGAACTCTCAATTTCGGTCTATTGCCGGTTCTTCTATCGATTAGACAATATATATATATATAAGGTGGTAACCCATTATTTTGAAGACTGCAGCCTGTTACGACCGCCAAAAGAATAATTGAAAAATCGCACAACTACACGTGTTTTCATCTGTAACCTAACGAAGAAAAGCTGTAAGCATTGGAAGCTGAACAGTCTTCATTGATAAGCGGCAAGAAACGTACAACCCCTTTTATGCGTGCCATGTTTGGCCCCATTACTGCATGAACATCGCACGATAACTCCCACGTGCTTTTAAAAGTTATTTTAATCGTCCATTCACCATGCAAGGAAGTTAGCACAACTCTGAAGCTATAGCGATAGTTTCGTATTGTAGCACCTCGATACTTGCTCTCTGAAGAGCGGACGGCTTTTGAAGTTAAAATTTGGGACTCATTAAAAGGACAAGACCTGTCCGGGGATGAAAAGAACAAAATAAATGTTTGGAAGTGCAAAGTTTAAGTACGCCTTCCGAGGTGAACTAAACAGGTTTTATTGCAAACATAAGTATTGTAATTGTCTTCGGCATTATCCAGAATTATGATCAGTCAAAATATCGCTACAAAATCGAGTTGTAGCGGGCACGGAACACAACCCTAGAGGGTATTTAATTTTAATTCGAAAAATAAAAAAAAAGGAAAAAAGGAGGGTAGAAGAGTTAGACGAGTGAGTCTTTAACCATATATTTATCAGGCTCGGCGGACATTATATGAGGGGGTAATCGTCTGCAAGGTTGACTCATTACTTACAAACTTTTTAATTATTGGTTGTAGGGATCATGTTGGAATTGCAGTATTTCCGGCTAATTCTATTACAGGTCAGACCATTTTAAAAAAGAAAGGGTAAAAACTTGAGATTTGTGTTTGTTTTGTCTGTTTTTTTTTTATCGTTCCGTGTCTCCAGCTACTACATGGATATTTTAAAGAACCTGCGAAAGGGTAATGTTTTTTTTATATTAATAAATCAATTATTGCGATTTTTCTGCCGATTTAAAGATTGCGCGGAAAGAGAGCGCCTCAAGAGCCAACACCTTCTAGAATAACGAAGGCCTCCGAACACCGCACTTCTTCCATGGAACGTCATCAGAGTCGGACAACTCGGCAATTGGACCCGAGCCCGAGGGCGAGCTTTCTTCGTCACGTTGGTTGGACACGAGGCCCAGCCGAGCACTGAGGCAGCACTCGTATGCGATCGGTGTCATGCGCTCGATCTCACTATCATGACGTTAAAATTCTAGCGCACGGGCTTTGATTATTCTAGGTTGGTGTTGCTCGAGCCCTGCGCACAATGACGCATAGAAGAGTGACGTAATCTCTGAAGTCACGTCGTCACTCATGCCGGCGGTGCATCTAAAGTCCCTAGATAAGAGCTACTGCAATTCCAACATGATCCCTAGAGCGAATAATTAATAAAAAAACAATTAAGCAATATATATAATTAGACAACTTACGGTGACGAATATCCTCTCATTCAATGTCCGCCGAGCCTGACAAACACACGGTGAAGTCAAAATCCGTCTAAATAACACTCACTCTTTCTCTCTCAGTCACCCCCCCCCCCCCCCCCCCCCCCCGACTTTCTAATAAATCTGCTCGAATTAAAAATCAAGGATCCTGTATATCCTACTTTGCGATTAAAGCCAATCGAAGGGAAAGAAGACGAGCTTCATATTAGGGCGGCTTGAAGGCTTTTCTTGTACAACGGAAATTCACCACTATAAAAGTTGTATTTTACTTATAATTTGCAGAATTCCAATTCATCCCTCTCTGTAATGGATGCGTTTCACGGACGTGACCGAGTCGGGCGGGAACAAAAGTTTTACTAATGCGAGAAAAAAAAAAAAAAAGAAGAAAAAGACAAAGAAAAAGCACTTACGTCGTTCAATTTCTTACTTCCTTGTCGGGTTCGTTGTCGACGATCGAACAGGCACGCATGTCAACAGGTAGGTTTCTCTATTGTTTTTATTAAGGTACAAAGGCACATGTTGGGACTTCCATTACAGTCCAATCCCGAGTTCCGCGGTCGGGGTACGTCGCCGTCAAAAGACCAGGTCCGTCGCTGCGTTCTCCAAACTGTTACCCAGGGCCTGAGAATCTAACCTGGGAAGGCGGCGCAGAACGCATCACAAGTTAGGGTCTCAGGGAGTGGGGAACAGGGCCGCTGCCACTCGGAGCTCGTCGCAGACAGTCCTGGGCTCGTCGTCGCACAAACGTCTCCTGGAAGTGGACTCGAACTTCGAACAAGGAGGCGCGTCACCAAACAACAACTCTCCTTAAAAAAAAAAGAAAAAAAAAAAGGAAAGCGGTGCAGGAAAAGGATTAGTATTTTATAATGTAGTGATTGCGCAGGCGAGCTGGTGGATGTTAACCATTTTGTTCTTAGCCCGAGACTGAGGCAGGAAAAGAGGAAAGTTTCGAAAACTTTCCTCTTTTCCTGCCTCAGTCTCGGGCTAAGAACAAAATAGTATTTTATAGTCAGTAACAAGCGGCGCGGTCACGCTGATATTACATCGTACAAAAGACAGTATTTAGAGACACTGTCTTTAAATACTGTCTGTCATAGAAACGCGCGTAGAGACGCGTTTCTATGGTGGTTTTCGCAGCGAAATTCAGCACAACGGCTACAATGCGTACCAGACAAAAAAAAAAAAAAAAAAAGAGTAGTGAAAGTTTTTTTTTTTTTTTTTTTTACAAAGCCGTTAACTCTTTTTACATTTGAAGAGCGAGTGCTGGAAGGGAGGAAAGTGAAGAGGAGGAAATCGTCAGTCGTGGCGAGGAGGGAGTTTCTGTGGAAGGAGTTTGTCCCGCGTTGTCTTAACCTGCCTGCAGTGCACGAACATTTAGTTGTCGCCAGTTGGCGCCACTGAAGTGGAAAAACACAACCTACCTATAGTCCGTTGCAAATCAAGAAAGTAGGGCCAGGGAAAGGAAGGCCGGGGACGAGGAAGCAGAGGGGCTGCTGGAGAGAGGGGGATGTCCCCCCCCCCCCCCCCCCCCCCCTTCTCCTCTTCAGCGTTTCGTCTGCTTCTTCCTCTCCAGCCTTTCTTTCCCTCGCCCTACTTTTTTGAGCTGTAACTTACTTTAGTTACTAATTCAGCAAGTAACACGTAAGGATGCTTATTTTTTTTTTTTTTTTTTGTAGTAGAGTGTAGACATTTGACCTGAAAGAGGGCTGAGTCGGAGTTCTGTAGGCGACCTAGTGACATCACTAAATGCGACTGACCTGGAACAGCAAAGCTTGCAGTCACACCGTTAAATCGTCATACCGAAGCAACGGTGTTCGTTGCAGTCACGATGTGAGAATTATCTGCCATCTCAAGCATGTTCGAAGTGTCCTTGCTTCATACATATATGTATGCTTGGAAGACGGTTGCAGATGTTCCTTCCATCGGCAATGTGGCAGGGGTACAAGGAACCCTCAGACAGAGTGTGCAGAGTGTCTCTCGTGTGATGCATTAGCGCTGTGACGACGGCCTTAAGGAATAAGGGGAGATCTAGTGCAGCATTCACGACCCAGCGCAGTATCCGGGTCAGCGCTAGTGATCTATGAAATAGCGGTATCGGTCACAGCATATGCGGGGTTCCTGCAGAAAGCATGGCGACCGTCCTCTCCAGAGTCGACCATCTGCGAAGGAAGAGACGACAAAGAGCTCATTAATAAACACGCACGACGGAGTGTGGCAGATATGCGGCGCCACCCGTAAAAATTCTCTCTTCGAAACAATGGACGAGCGATAAGACCTCTCGCGTGGTGTGATCGCTCGAATACGAAGGCAGCCTCAAGCTAGAACAATGCACGAGGCTCCGACAGACGGAGGTCGTTCATCTTGCGCGGCTTCTTTGTTGGTCCTTTACGAACACACGCGCGGAGGTTGCGAGACAAACACCACCCACGGAAAGAAACGACAATTTCTTTCTCTTAGATATCTACGTTCTTGGTCGAGAAATCGCAGCTTAATATACCCTCGTTGTAAGATGTGACGAACTGCCAATCGATCCACCAGGTATGATTAAAGCCCCTTGATGTTTTAAAAGTAACGCATGGTGCGTCGATGCACGAGGCACGTGCAACGTGCAGCCCTTGGGAATATCATGGCGGTACAGTGCAGCACTGAGCTAGATTTCAGACGTCATGTTCTTCCCATAAGTGGCGCGTGGCACGTGTCTCGGGCATTTCCACAACAATGAATGGCGCCACTACGATCACATTGCCTCGCCGTGATGTCACGAATCGCAATCCTGGCTACTTGTCATCCGTTGCGAAAGACACATCCGAGTGTAGAAAGCACGGTTGAAGCTTGGAGTCATCGCATTGTCAAACCAACACCGGAAAAATTGACAGTCTTACTTCCGCCTATAAAATAAAAAATTAATCTAACTAAAAACGTTACACTGAGCGTTTGGTCAATCATGATGGCGCCGACCACAGCAACATTTTTGGTCGCCTTTCCAGATTTGTTTAAAAAGAAAGCCGTGAAAGGTACACTACCGCGGTTTGCATAGATGAGTTATACGGCCGGCCGGATTAGCGGATACGGATTAGCCCCGTATATGGATTATCCCTACACATATAGTATATGAGGCTAATCGTAACTATCAGTCGGCTAGTTACGTTACATTTGTTAACTAACTTTTTGATTAGTGAAAATAGACATATGGTTCTGACCAGAAACTTGCTGAGGCTCGCTCAAAACATATAATTTTTATAAACACTTTGAGCGCTTGGGAAGCGTAGTTGTGCGCTCCAGCCCGCACTAGGGAGTTTTAGTAGATCGTTTTCGTGCAGCCGCTCTGCAGAGCGGAGCGCGGAATCGCCACTGCGCCTGCGCGCCGATGGCCTTGGCTGTAGAGTTCCGGGTAACGGAGGTGCTTAGCGGAGCGGGAAACACGGTCTACTAAAACTAACTACTACTACACTACTAAATGCGCGGGTCACGAGAGCCCACGACACTAGAGCGTAACGTTGACTAGAGCGCCGCCGGGAGAGCGTGCGACAGGACAGCGCCGCGAGAGCAGAGCGCACGACAGGAGAGAGCCGTGACACCAGAGCGCAAGACAGAAGAGCACCGTGACATGAGAGCGCGTGTTCATAGAGCGTGCATCACGAGAGCGCATCTCTGCGCCTTTGAAATGATCGACATTGGGTTCTTCAAACACATGTTTTCGCATTTGAACGCTTGATGTCATCTATAATGTATTTCCTCTTATGATGTACCGCAGCAAAGGCTACAAACGCGAGCTCCTTGCTCTAGGGCAAATCTCGGCGGCACAAGCTCTCGTGCGTTAAGGGCAGCTGTCAACGCCATGAGCTCGCGCTTCTAGCCTTCACTGCGGTACAACATAAGGTGAAACGGAGTATAGCTGCATGCATGAGTATATACTCAAACCGGTCGAAGCGGCACAAGCGTGTTGATCGCAGCGGTCTGCAGTTACACCGTTTAAGATGATTTATTTTGTTCAGGTTATCTATCCTAACTCAATACATTACCGCGCATTTGTCTTAACTATAGATTTTTTTTAATTGGTCACTACTAAGAAAATAAAATTCACATATCAATATAAGTGAAAACAAATTGGTTGGACGATGAGCTCTTTCCGGAATCAAACATTTTAGTTCTTTACTTAAGGCAGTACAGGAGTCTACCGTGATCGCGGGTGTTAGATTTTTATCATGTTTAATTCTGGTAAACGCAGGAAAGACGTCGAATTCGGAACGCGCTAGAAATCAACCCGTTCGTTCTTGTGATAAATGACAAAATATGAAGCTGCATTTGTACATATTGTGCAGTGCTGGCTGTCGCGTTACAGATAGTCCAAAGTATACCAACCCAGTTACTACAAAAGCGGATTGGATACTTGAACTTTCTGCCACAGGGAAAGGTACCTTAAAGCAGCTGTGCAACGATATTTAATTGGAATGTTTTTCACTTGACACGAGCTTACTGGCACACCTGGGACTCAAGGATACTCACACGCAACGCCACTGGCCAAGAAACTCCTTTGTTGCGGTGTAATTTCAACGACAAAAGCGATCGTTTTCATTCAATCTTTCTTTGGAAAATTTGATGACGTAACGTGGGGATCGCAGTACACCCAAATGACGATATTTGAATGCGGTTCATAGATTGGACCCGAGCATTGCGTGGGCACTCGACTTGGGCTCGTGATAATTGCTAGCTCGAGAAGCATTCGGGTAGTGACCCGCGTCCAATCGCTGCAACGACGACAACAGCCGAGCCATAACAATGTCTAGAACTCAGGGCGTGTCCTGCGCTTTGCCAACCCCAGCGCGTGGCTATGATCCACTTTGGCGGCATATAATCGGTTCCAGATCACGTGGCCCCTTGTTCTGGCTGCGAGTGGAGGGGGTGAACGCTGCTCGATTTTCTTTAATTTTTTTCTGGGACTTCTATTGCGTGGGGCGAAAAATGAACGCGTGTTTCATAGGTCATTAACGTTAGGGATCCGTTTTAAACGGAATTTTCGCAAAGTACAAAAATTGTTGCATCGCTCTTTTAAGCGGTATTCACACGAGGGAGAAATCCCGGGGATTTTTCCCCCGGCGCGCGCGCATCACGAGACGAAAATGCAAGGCTTTTGCACATCTCAAGGCCTGGCGTTTTCGTCGCGGGATGCGCGTGTCGTGGAGAAATCCCCGGGATTTCTCTCTCGTGTGGATACCCCTTTAGTGACGGCAGCTGTTGTTCGGCGCTGTCCTGACGCGCGTTCTAATGAAACTCGCTCTCGTATCCCTGCGCTCTCCTGTCGTGCGCTCTACTGTCGCGGCGCTCTCGTGTCGTGCGCTCTCGTGGCGCCCTCCCAGGTACGCAGCACTAGGTACCATTCGTGCAACAGGTACAAGGCTGGGGCTATGATAAGAGACAGAAAAATGCAATACCTACCGGTGCGATAAGGCGCGGCCGCCTTATCGCACCGGATGGCCTTGCTTCTGCTGCAGGAGTGGTAAATTTAGCGCACTGCTGCGCTTCTCAAGAAATCAGTCTTTCTAAGAAGTGCTAATCTAGTGATTTTCAATGACGCTGAGCGAGTTTCTAATTGAAATCATATGCCTATTTTCACAAACTAAAAAGTTAATTCATAAAGTTTACTTAGTTAGCCGACTGATCGTTACGAATAGACCCTATACTATGTTCCCCTGGCCGTATATATGACTGGCACAAACCGCATAAGAGTAGCTTTCATGGCTTGATTCTAAACAATACTGTAAAGCTTAAAAAAAAAAAGAAGAAAACCTGTATGAGGTGGGTAATCACATCTGTAGTCAAGGATTTCAAAATTTACATATCAAACTTTCTATAAAAAATGTATACCAAAGTTAGAAAAAGGTAAAACGTGCCAGTTGGATTGTGAATGACCTCGCCTAGCCAAAAGCGCACACCCTAATCGTAACAAAAAAAAAAAGAAAAAGAAAAAAAAGAAGACGCTTACAACACTTTGTAACGCCGAATTAGGGTGCAGCTATTGAGGAGGAGGAGGGAAGGGTATTGAGGGGAGGGTATACTCTCCTCCTCCTCCCCGCGCGGTGCATCATGGCAAATGTTTCATTTGCGCGGCTACCGACGCCGACGCCGCTAAGCCGAAAACGGGCGCCTAAGAGCCACGCTCTAAAACAAGAAACATTAACATGCTTTTGGATATACAGGTTAGTGCACATCGATTCTTTTGTATGAAACACCTCATCCTTCCATGTGCCGCACGTTTATATCTCCTCGTAGGCGAAACAAGCGCTGGTGATAACGCTCGGTCTGCTTATTGTTGCGTCGTAACACGCAAACAAAATAAAAAAGGAGTTGAACGCTAATCTCGTCGTACAAGTCACACAGTTTAAAGCTTCCAAAAGAGCATTCCAGCTCAGCTGTTCATCTTCGCACGAGTTCGGGTGTCTTCGGAAACTGCCAAAATATTCTCGCATTGTACGTGAATTCTCGACATTCGTGCAGCTATATTTTGACGGAAAATTTTGACGGAAAATACTTTACGCGTCCATAACCCCTGGACAGACCACGTAATGCGCGTTTCACTTGCAGCGGCTCTGCAGGCGAAATCGCTGCCGCTAGCGGCAGCGATTTTGTGATGCACAAATTGCGAGGTTTCGTTTCACACGAGTTGTCCGCGAGCGTTGTCTGCCACTGCGATGCCAGCGTTCCTTGCAGCAAACGGACACGCACAATGAATTTTAGCCGACTCCAATCACAATCTAAATGCCTTATATTTAGATTTCCTTTTTAATTTTATTTTATTAAAACCAAACAACAATTTAGATCGCAATATATATAGCCCTTAACACGAAAGTCAAGAATGCATATATGGACAGGTTCTGACACAGAAAGGAAGAGGACAGGGGAACTCGAGCTTGCACGCAAAGTTCCAAGGCCAGCCGTCTCAGAACAATGGAGGAAAGTGGGGAATGGCAGGATGGGATCGGTTCCAAATTAGGGTATGCCGGAAAATTTCAGACATTCCTTGCAAAATATTTGGAGGAAGGGGAGAGCAATCCGCCTCTACAATTCCGAACAGTTCTGACGCGAGCGCTGAATCAAATTAGCTGAGCCCACCAATGGAAATGAGGAAAAAAAAAAAAAAAAAAAGGACACCGCAAGCCAT